AGCTGTAGTGTTTGCTTTGAAAAAATTTTACCTGTACCTATTGGGCACCAAAGTGGTTGTCTACTCTGATCACTCGGTCTTAAGACATTTGTTGTCTAAGAAAGAGGCCAAACCTCATAAGACGGATCCTTCTTTTGCAAGAATTTGACATCGAGATTTGGGATAAAAATGGCTCTGAAAATGTAATAGTTGATCATCTATACAGAATTCAAATTGAAAAGAGTGAACCTGTGCATGACTACTCTTTTCCAGATGAACACCTCTTGGCGGTTTCCGATAGTATACCCCCGTGGTTTGCTCATATCGTCAATTACTTAGCGGTGGGTAAAATTTTTTAGGGATGATCAAAAAATGAGGACAGATTCTTCTCACAGCTCAAATAATATTTTTGGGAAGACCCTGAACTATTTCGAATCTGTTCGAATCAAGTAATCCGAAGATGCGTCCCCAAGTCTGAACACCAAAGTATCCTTAATTTTTGTCACACTCTTGCTTGTGGATGGCACTTTTCGGGAACGAAAACGACGGCCAAAATACTACAAAGTGGTTTTTATTGGCCAAATTTATTTAAGGATGCCCATGCTTTTAGCAAAAATTGCCTAAGATGCCAAGCTATCGAGAATATGTCCCGTAGAGACATGATGCCACTTAACCCCATTTTAATTGTAGAAATTTTCGATGTTTGGGGTATTGATTTCATGGGGCCATTTCCGCCATCATCCGGTTACGAGTACATCTTGATGGCCATTGATTACGTGTCAAAATGGATTGAGGCGGTAGCAACCCAAACCAATGACCACAAAGTTGTAATGAAATTTGTTCAAAAGAACATTTTCTATAGGTTYGGGTGTCCACGAGCAATCATTAGTGATGGGGGGTCACATTTCACTAATGCGCAATTCCGTACGTTGCTTCGCAAATACGGAATCACTCATAAGATAGCAACCCCCTACCAATCCTCAAATGAATGGTCAAGTAGAAGTTTTCAATTGGGAAATTAAGAGTATTCTGCAAAAATCCGTTAGGCCAGATGGAAAAGATTGGCCCGATAGATTGGATGATGCACTTTGGGCTTATTGGACGGCATATAAAACTCCCATTGGAATGTCTCCGTATAGACTATTCTTCGGAAAACCTTGTCATATTCTTGTAGAATTAGAGCATCGGGCCTATTGGACCATCAAAAAGTTCAACACCGATCTAACCCAAGCTAGATCCCATTAGGCTCTACAATTAAGTGAGCTAGAAGAACTTCGCAATGAAGCTTATGAAAGTTCTCACATTTATAAAGCCAAAATGAAAGCGTTTCATGATAAAAACATTTCAAGAAAAACATTTGAACTTAGGAAAAAAGTTTAGCTCTTTAATTCTGGGCTGTGGTTGTTTCCGAGTAAATTAAAATCCAAATGGGATAGGTCGTTTGTTGTGATAAAGTGTTCGAGCATGATGCAGTTAAAATAGTTGATCCCAATAATGGAACCATGTTCAAGGTCAATTGTCAAAGGCTTAAACCATACATAGAAGGAGTATCTGAGAGTAGAGGAGTTGAGACCTTTAGTTTGAGTGATTCAGTTGTGTCTGGTTGAAGACGTTAAATTTAGCACTGGTTGGGAGGCAACCTAGCACAGTTTTTGTTTTTAAGATTTCTTTCTCTTGATTCAAGACCAGGTGGCAAACCTTGAACCCCTCAGGAAAACCTTATTGATTGTTCCCTTTGGCCCAAATCCTTTTTGCATCAGTCTAGTCATGCCATTGGGGACAATGGCATTTAAGTTGGGGGTGAGGAAAGAGAAAAAAAATTTGAAAAAAAAAATGGGAAGCTAAGCCTTTAAATATGTAGAATTAAAATTTCACTAAAAAATTTAATTTTTTTCATTAAAAGAGATTCTCAAATAGAAAAATTTAAGGAAACTAATAAAAGAATATTGAATTTTGTAGAAATTAGTAACAAGTGATAGGAGTAAAAATTGGTCTTATTTGAATATTGTCGAAACCGTTTAAAAATTAGAAAGTACTCGCAAGTTTGCCCCTGCCAAGATAAGAAGAGAAATATTAAGAAATTAGACAAAAATTCTTCAAATTGTTAGAAACAGTARACTGCCCTGAACAATGTTGCAAAGAGAAAAAAAGAGAATAAAAGGTCAATGAAAACCCTAGACTTAATAACCGGGTCTCTTCACCTAAGTCAAGTGTCGAGATTTGTGTAAAATGTAAAAGGGAATGCCAAAGACAATCACCTAACACTTAGTAACCGGGTCTCTTCACCTAGGCAAGTGTCGAGATCCGCGTCAAACGATGAAAGGTAACAATAGAAATAAGTGTGCAAATCAAGTTCAGGGGTAGAAATCCACTGTAAAAAATAATACATGTCTAATTTTAAAAATCAATCTCAACTTATCAAGATAGTCTGCAAATGGAAGGGTATATAAGATTTTGCCAAGTTTCTGTAATATTCAAAGTAGGACAATTTTACACCTTAAGTCTAATACCGATCTTTACAGAGTTTGAGAATGCTGGAATCAAGATGCTTGGCTAATTCTGTCAGGGACGATCTTGAGATGGGAAGGATCTCTATGATCAGTGCAATTTTAAGGCTGCATTGCTAAGGGACTAGCAATGGTTAAGTTGGAGGGTGTGATAACTCTGCATTTTTATGCCTTAGGGCATCATTTCAGGAGTATTTTCGGCCTTAGAATAGTCAAAGTATGTTATTTTCCTAGTTAAATTCAATGTTGTGACCTCTGAGGGTMTCTGTGCAAATTTTGTGGAAAATTAGGGAAGTTACACGGCTGAAATGCAGATTTTGGGAAGTTGGTGTGAAGTCTAGCTGAGAGGGGGTGTTTTTGTGAAAATTTGATAACAAGAAGGCACCTCTTATCTGCTAAACCAGAATGACACCCCTCCTATTGTATTAGCATGCTCCCCTCTCCTTACCAAACCCTAGGGTGTCTTATAACTCATTCTTTTCATTCTTAACAAACCCTAGCCGCCCCTAACTACTAAATCCTCACCTTCCATCCCTTYTAATCTCCATCATCCATTCTATGGCACACTCATTTTAGCATTCTAACCCTAAGGAGCCATCTAATTTCCAATCTTCACAATTCAGTCTTTAGCCATTAAATCTCAGCCTTACATAATATTGGGTGCCCTCTCCTTTGGATCACCTTAGAACCATCCTAACTCTTTCTCTCTAATTCTAATTAGATCCGCTATTCTTTATAAAAATGACCCCAAGGACCCTGGAGAGGGGGTTGGTCAATTCACCTAGTTCACAAGGCTAAGGTTTCTTGAGATGTTCAAGGGTTGTAGAAAGGGAGGATGCCTAGATCTTTTCAGAAGGGGTTCCTACAAGTTCAACCAATCTGCAACTACCGCCACTAAATTTGATCAACCATTCTTTTCTTTTCTTCATTTTCCTTTCTATTATTTTTATTTCTACATTATTTTAGATTTAACTCTTGTACGTTTCTCTGTTTTGCAGATCTGATTTTGTCTGGTTCAAGGCTAAAGTGTCTCGAGTGGTTCGAGGGTTATAAAAAGGAAGGRCACCCAGTTCTTGTTAGGAGGGGTTCCTACAAGTTCTCTAGCAAATCTACAGCTACCGCCACCGGATCCGGATTCTGGATCATTTTTTATTTATTTCTTTTATTTCCTTTATTGATTCTCATACTTTATTAAATTTTGATTTTTATTTATTGTCTTGTTTAAATTCGAAACAATTAATTTCAGTAATAATAGATTTTATTTTCGTATTTTCTGCCATTCCCGATTGCATTTCTTGTCCAGATCTAAGTATATATTAATTTTTCACTTGCTTCCCTATGGATACAACATGTTCTCACCCATTTACCACGTTAGTAGTTGTTTGAGAAATGGTAAAAATTATAAATGTTTAAACTGGTTTTCCGAAGTATTTAACGATGCGCTTCCAGAAACACCAGTTATCGCAGCCTTGGGAGGAGGAGCAAGAGATTACTAAGGGTGGCCACGAGATGACCACTTCACAAGCTACTCGAGCTCAACTCAATTTATAGGCTTGTTTATTAATCGAGTCGAGCTCGAGCCTAATAAAGCTCAGCTTGTGAGACCCACGAGTTGGTTCGAATAGCTACATAATAATAATAATAAAGTTATAGAAAATAATATATATAATAAAAACATTATATATATAATATTTTTATTTTTTATATATAATAATAACTAATTATTATAATTCTTAATTTTTTAAATATCAAATAAAAATATTTTTATATATAATTTTTTTATTTAAAAAAAAATCTCAAGTCAAGCTCGAACTCAAGGTTCTAGCTCGAATCGAACTCGAGCTCGTGCCTTGTAATACCTTGGCAAGCAAAGCTTGACTTACTAGCTATTTGACTCGTTTCGACTCAATCCACCCCTAGAGATTACAAAAACAATGGCAAGAGTTTGGAGAAAATAACTCTAATGAGGAAAGAGTGGTTTGATGAGTAGAAAACTTGTACGTTTGTATTGTAAAAAAAGTACTGATGTAATGAAAGGGATGATATTCATACTTTTTTCGAGCATCTTTTGTTACTCAGCTAGTGTATTTTAGATGTGCTTGTTGTCATTGCATTTGGCAATATCAATTTTTATGCTTTATACTGGCATTCCTTGTGTCGCCATGGAATGTTTCATTGCATATTGGGTTGTTAGAGCCCTTCTCGGGCTATTGCTGCCTTCCTAGGTTTTCCAGGTTATGTCATCGCACATGGGCATACCAATATCTTCAAGGACTTGATATTCTCACCTTCACTACAACATCAAATTTCATGGGTATAATTTTTGGATGAGTAATCCTTCTGGTTCTACTTTTTTTGAAGTAATCACCGGTATTTCTAGATCCTTTTTTTGTGATAACTAAGCATGTTTATAGACATGAGCTCAGTGAGTAAAGAAATGGTAAGGAGAGTCCTCTGATTCCCAAACATGACTCCCAATAAGTTCTGGACAGAAAGAACAAATCATATGTTGAACAATACTAACATGCAACTAGGCAACATGCCAAACATGTTTCCATAAATATATGGTACAAAGTCTGATCTTAAGAACGAAGTTGTCTTACTAGGTAAACGATTACAGAGAAAATACTGTTAGCAAAATATATTACCTCAACAGTTCTTAGGTTGATCCGTATGAGCTCCTTACGCCTCTCAAATTTTGGAAGAGGAATATATATTCTCTTTTCCAGCCTTCTCCTACATTCCATTAATGCCAAAAATTATACCAGCAACAGCAGGATGCCTATAAACAAATCTAGATGATAATCGGTTGCTGTTTTGCAAGGCTAGGTAATCATGTTAATATTTAATTTCACTGGAAATATTAAGGGCTCAAGGAGATCTTTAAACACCAAGGACAATATCCCACCTAAATGCCTCATCTAAATCCCAAGGAAAATTGGTAGCTGCCAGGGAGTTTGCATCTCCGCCCAACGAGCAACTGGCACATGTCTAGTCACACGTGGTGGAGCGGTCCCACATGCGGAGCTAACGGGACGGCCGTTAGCTTGTCCCGTTAGCCCCAAAGTGAGCCCAGAAACCTCTCCATGTTCCTGCCCCCTCAACCTCAAATCATGTCTAACCCCCATTCTACTCCCCTCCGCCCGAGCTCGGATCCAACTCCCTCTCCGACACCGGCGATCGCTCCAGCCAATTCACCGTCACCAGGTACTCTCCAACCCTCGTATTTTGTTTTGATATTTGGGTTTTTTCATTTCAAATCAAAGAAACCCTCGTTTGATATTTTGTTTTTTCATTTCAAATCAGAGAAACTTTTTTCCCCTCTTCCAACTCCCTCTCCAGCACCGGCAATCGCTCCGACCAGTTCACCATCACCAGGTACTCTCCAACTCCGGCCAGTTCACATTCTCATTCTTACTTATTGATATTTTCTTATTCTCATTCTAMAGTGGTTCATCGTTTGTTGAAGTTCATATGTGAAAAGTGATTAATGTGTTGGTTTCTGGAGTTCAGAGGACCACCATACACTGACATGCTTCTCTGTTACTTTGAGAACCGTATTGGAATAAAGAGAGTAATTTTCTTAAAACAGAATCCTCTTCAATCTTTTGATCAAGCTTAAAACTTTCTAAAGGTTGGTTTCTTACATGACATAGTTATCTAGATATAAAGCTAGGCTAGACAAGAGGGGAGCGCCTTGTTGTTTTAATATGATCTACTTAACTAGTTTCTCTAGCTTTTTTGTGGGTAGCTTGCTTCCCTGGTTCATATTAGCAATGACCAAACATTAAAAATGATCTGAAATAAACAAATTAAATTAAAAATAGAAGACAACAACATTAGATAGTCTTTGAAAAAAAGATACTTAGAGAGTGTTAGGCCTTCTTCTATTAGTGTGAAGAGATATAAATAGAATATTTATGCGTTTGTGTGTGTGATAAATCAAAAAATGGAGAAAGAAACAAACAAAGCCATGAATATGATCTTACTATGTTGAATTCAGTAAAAATGTGAGTTTTGTGTGAATTGCAAAGAAAAAACAACAATGGGGGTTTTCATGATTCGAAAGACAAGGGGCCAAACGGACCCCAAAAGGCCTCTTTACCAATTTCTACCAAAAGATTTTCTGCTAACAATCAACTAACAGAGATAAAGGGACATTTACAAGACTGATAAGTTGCACGCACCTAGGCGATAAGGCTTTTTTTTTGTTACCCTCTGCCTAGCCTTGATATTTTTGTATAGGTAACATAGAAATTTTAGGTGTAGTGCAGCTAAACTACATTGTATTGTATAGAAAAGGGTGAAACAGTGTAAAAGGGCATTATAAGAAATCAATTCTCTATATGGAAACCCATAAAATGAGTTTGGGGCAAACCACTTAAACCATAATGGAAATGGAAAATAATGTATTCATTATAGTAGGGGTTTAAATAGTAGGCTTCATCATGGAATATCAAACAATTGCCGGTGACGGAGAGGGAGTTGGAAGAGGAAAAAAGTTTCTCTAATTGGAATGAAAAAACAAAACATCAAACGATATGTGGTATCTTATCTTCTCACATGACATCCTGGTGAAGACAAGTGGTATCTTATCTTCTCAAGAAAGCACCAGCCACTCTTCTCTAATCCCCTACAGTCTCCTTAGCTTCAACCACCAACTTCTTCTCCCAATCTTCCTTCCCTGCATTGACGCCCATCCTACCAAGGCTATTTTTTTTCACTGCCATCAGAAGTCCTTGTGGTAGGGAATCCTAAATTAGGGCCCACTTTCTTTCAACTCTGTTTCCCTTTTCGAAAAATCGTCTTTCAGTCGTCCAAAGAAATCTTGCAACAGCTCAGAAATCTCCATCCAGCCTTGACCTTTCCTCCCTTTAGGGAAGCAAACCAATTGCTTCCTACCCTCACCAAAATATTCAAAAAGAGCAATGAAAAAACCATTAGCATTCTGCTTCCTTTCAGCGAGATATCTTCTGTCTTCCCCAACTCTCATACTCTTCCTGACAGTCTTCCTACAACACAGGATAGCTCCTACTACAAAACCCCTGAAACAATCAATAATTTCTTTTTTTTAATTGGAAACGGTAACTTTCATTAATGCTAGATAATCAATAATTTCTTTACCCACGATCATCACTATGGCTAACTTCTTTTCCCTGATTTTCAGGCATAGAATACCCTTGGTTCTTTTCCTCTATCAAAAACACTTTGCTTCGATCTTCTTCCATCTTCTCCAGCAAAACTTCTCCATCTGTTCTCGATGCTTAGTAGTCCTAGGYTAACTCAGAACTCACACTTCAAAACCTTTCATAATCATTGACTCAACCAGAAAACCGAAAGACATGTTACAATGCCTATGGTAGATGACTAATGCCCCCAACACAAATAACATGCAAGAACAGATGTCTTTCATCATCCAATTGTATTCATAAACTAGAAGTGCAAAAGTTGTTCATTCTAATAGTAATATAAGTAGTCAAAATCCACATAAAATCCATTAACTTTTTTTTTGTGTGATGGATAAAATCCCTTAACATGGCTTCACCATGAACTTCATAATTCATATAATCCCAATTTAATGACTGGAAAGCAGAGCTATGAAGAGCAAAAAATTAACTGGAAGAAAACAAGAAAAGCATATGCCCCATACAACAGTACCTTATGCTGCTTTTAGCCAAGGTTCCAAAAGGCTTCAATCCAAGTTTTCTAGAACATTGACAGCTTTGATGACTGGTTGCCAGATCTGCCAAGCTGCAAATTCTGATCCAAATATGTAAAGTAGGAACAAGCAGCATCAATGAAATGCCAGGAGAGGAAATGAAACCATGATGGATAAATTTTTTCCCTGCTAGTAAATGAATTATATCATTATAAAGAAAGCTTGGAAAAAGGAAATTAGCATACAAAGCAAAAGGTTCTTAAAAATCACCTTGATGGTGCACTGATTTACCATGTAAGACTATGAACAGGGACAAACCAATAACCATTCAAATCCCATCCATTTCCCCAGATACTAATAAAGAAACTCCTCTGATTAGAGAATTACAGATAAAAACAGTGTAAGATTTTTTTTATCACTTAATAATGTTAAACCAAAGAACTTTGAATTCCATAGCTAACATTAATGCTTTTCAACCTGCAAAATAATGTAAAAATTGCACTGTAGTGCAGATTGTAAATGGTAGAATGTTCAACTTCTAAAATAGTGTGCTTGAATGAACCTTGTCCGTAAGGATGTTGTAACAAACAGGCAAAACAACGAGTCCTTTGAAGTAGATGGCAATGATGAAGATCCTGATCATAGCTAACAAATTTCCATCTTTGAAATGTTGAGGTATTCCCATCATATGCATGAATTTAAAGGAATGCTAACAAGAATCTCCTTCAGAATAAATAAATTCAATAACCCTAACTTTAAGTATTAAGTAAAATTAATCTTACCATAAAAAAAGAAATAAATAAACTTAATTCCCTGCACTTGTAAGAGAAGCATCCTGTATCTACCAGTAATCACCACAAGAACATTTCCCGGCCTTGAAATGGTGAAACCGACTAGCATCACGAACAATAATTTCTCTTAAAGTAACCTCTGATATGAATTTGATTGCCACATGGCAATCATTACACACACGCAAATTCTTCATGACCCTGATTGGGGAACCAACAGGAGTGTTCAGGAGTGCAAAAGCAATAGCCACTTTCTCACTGTGGTGGGCCAAGCTATACTCTTTTTCCTCAGTGTCCATGTCATGCAAAACAGAGCTTGTATCCRGTACATAACCTCGTTCCTTAATCTCCAGTGTAAGTTCTTTCAGGTACCCATCAATCTCCATCCATTTGGGATGGGATTGATCACCCATACAGAACTGATGAACCTGGTTCTTCACCTCCAACCAACTTATCCCAGGCTCCTTCTTCACCTTCATATCTCTCATGGCCTTCCTCACATCTGAAACATCACCCCATCTCTTAGCGGAAGCATGGATATTTGAAAGCAAGACATAAGGTGCAGAGTCCTGAGGATCAAGTCTAAGAACTTCTTCAGCAACCTTTCTGGCCATCTTTGCATTCTTATGGATTTTACATGCAGATAGCAAAGTCTTCCAGATAATTGCATCTGGCTTTATGGGCATTGACTGGATTAAAGCTTCTGCTTCTTCCAAACAGCCAGATCTCCCAAGGAGATCAACCATACAAGTATAGTGCTCCAATCTAGGGTTTACTTTGTATTTATCAACCATCAATTCAAAGAATTTTGTTCCCCTTTCCTTTAATCCACTATGACTACAAGCATAGAGCAAGCTCAAGAAGGTAACATCATTTGGCTCCAGACCTTCACTCTCCATCCACTCAAACAACTTGATAGCTTCTTGGCCCTGGCCATGAAGCCCATAAGCAGCAATCATTGAGCTCCACAAGACAACATCTGCATCTTCACATTCCAAGAAGGCCCTTATAGAGTCTTCTAAACACCCACACCTTGAGTACATGCTAATCAATGAACTGACCACGGATACTGCCGAAGCAGCTCCAGACTTAATAACTTCAGCATGAATCTGCTGCCCTTGTCCAAGGGTTGCCAATTCTGAACATGAACTGATAACACTGACAAAGGTAATTTTGTCTGGCCTGAATCCTGCAATCTTCATAAGATTATACTGACCCACAGCTTCTTCAGAGCACCCATTTTGTGCCCTGCCAGCTATGAGGGTATTGCAGGCAACAACATTATGAACAGGCATTCCCTTTATTACTCTTTCCCCTTCTTCTATAAACCCACATTTCATGTACATATGAGCCAGAGAACTCACAACAACCAAATTGCCATCAAAGCCAGACTTCATTATGTAGCAATGGATCTGCTTTCCAGGAATAAGTGCTTTCAGACCAGCACAGCCTCTAAGAATACTACCCAGAGTAAACTCATCAAGTCGAAATCCAATTTCATGCATTTGAGATAACAAACCCAATGCCTCTTTGCTGAATTCAAACTGTGCAAGTCCAGTAACCATTGCATTCCATGTCGCAAGGTTTCTCTCAGGCATTTCTTCAAACAACTTCCAAGCAGTCTCCAAATCACCATTTTGTATAAACCCACCAATCAAGATGTTTGATGTCATGATGTTCTTCCTGGGCATCACATTGAACAGTGCAACCGTAGTATGCAATTCTCCAAACTTGGAATACATGTTGAGGAGATGGTTGGAAATAAATTTGTCTGAAGAACAACCAGATGTGATAATTAAAGAATGGAGCTGCTTGCCTAGAGGAAGTGATTGTGAAAGAATACATCCTTGAAGAAGGTGAGAAAATAGGGATGGTTCTAACCAGATCTCCGTTCTGAATTTTTCAAATACCTCTTTCAACATTCCATTACAAGTAAGCTCAATGAATTCATCTCTGGACTTGACAAAACTTTTAGAAGTGTTTGTGGATAAAAGTTAACAAATTGTGATGCATGGACCTTTATTATGTTGAGAAAATAAGCAAAGGAATCTTGGTAAAGGCTTGCTCATGCACTTTATGTACCTTCCCTGGTAGTCAAATATATTCAAGAGAATGTTGCAATTAGGGACCCTTCATCAAAATACTAAATCAAAACAAGGTTTACATCAAAAAAAAAAAATAAAAGAAGAAGATACTTCTTTCTTACTCACCCACATCCTTCATCCATAAATAAAATTGGTCACCCATCTATATAATCTACAAATCAATGGGGAAAAATCGTAGATTAGAAATGTATATCATAAAATGTTTCAAGTAAAATGATATATTAACAGATTGATAGCATAAAAATTACATGAACAAAATTATCAAGTGAGGTTTCATTCATGAGGTGGTAATGGGGTGTGTTTCAAAATAATCAGAAAAAAAAAAAAAAAAAAAAAAAAACTATGCAACATCTAAACATATATAAATCAAAAGACCAAAAGAGCAGTGATCGTACAAGATAATATTCACTTTTTAGTGGATACCTGACCAAATTGATAGGTCCTAACAACAGAAACATGATTATTATTGAGATAGAAATCACCGCATGCAATGTCATTTATGAGATATATTAGTGCACTCTATTGCCCAATCATAGAAAACCCCTGATTTTCAATGAACCAAAATCAATGTTATCAATGAAAACAATAAAATAATACACTTACCAATAGCATTAAATAACAGGTTGGAAACATTGCAGGTGCCCATGTCAACTCAACATCATTTTCTCAGAGGTTAGATCTTTGGCTTCCAGAGAGAGTATCTTATACCAATGGGTCACTCAATAAGCCATTTCCACATAGATAAGATGGCTAGGAAAGGAATAGAGAGGGATGAGTTCTTCTAGGGGCAACACCCAAGGGGAAGGGGGATTGTTTTGATCACCATATTTTATCGTTGACAGTTCCACGTTTTTGCTAACCTCTAGTTTTAATTTTCCAGTCTAGATCCACCTCTAAGAATCTAGATGAACCTAGATACATTCCCTATAATAATGAACTCCTTCGGTCTTGTTATTGATAAGAAACACTAATTAACATAAAAAAAGAASCACAACTTCTTCTTTAGGAGAGTAGACTAGTATGAATTCAATTTCCAAATTCAGGTTATTAATGTGGTAATTCAATACTATTTATGCCAACTTTGAATATTAGGGTGGCATATACCACATTATTGATAATTCCATTTTTTTTTGCTTCCCTCTGGTTTGAGAAAGCATATTAATCGATTATATACTAACGAGAAAGTATGTCACATGAAGAAAATTTATAACCCTGTTTTCTAAATTCTATTATTCGAATGACCGTCCAAATAACATTCATTTGTATAACGAAGGTGTTTTTTCCACTTTTTTCTTGTTAAAGTGTATTAATATTAATATTTAACTTATTAATTATCTGATATTTATATTTTTATCAGATAATTTGATATTTATATAATATATATTAGCTGAATGTTATTTATATATTTCATATTATTCATATCTACCATTTCCATTTGCATACTGATTGGCATTGAAGTACTTCTTTCTACTTTCATCTCATAATTATATTCATTTGAGGTTTACATGAGTTTCCCTAAGGTGGATGATAGGTATCCTATTTATTTTTTGCCCCATTATCAAAATTCATGCATTTCCATAAGTATCTCAATTCGTTTCAGTGAACATGGTTAAAAAAATCTGAATCCGTTCATTCTATTCTTCATGTGATAGTCAAAAAAAGGATTAAGAATAACCATAGCCACTGAGTTTTAAATTTTTAAGAGAGATAAGAGAACAATGGACACCAAGATAAGTAACCGATTAAGCTGTATAAGTACTGAAGAAGCAGATTAAAATTTATGAATAAGAAGGATTAGACAAAGACTTACCTTGGTCATGAATCCACTGAATTGTGATTGGTCGTTGCCTTGTTGGTCAGTCGACTCAGTCTGTTTTGAGTTATCGCCTGAAAATAAAAATAAAAAATAAAAAATTAGAATGAAGAAGAAGGAACCACGGGAAAGGTCAATACCTCTTCCTTTTGTATGGTTCAATCTCCATACTTTCATTAAATAGAGGATTTTTTTGTTCTTCTTACAAAGAGGATATGATTCAAATAGAAAATCAGTTGCTGAAACGAAACATTCCTCAAGCCCCAAATCAGAAATCCCTTCAAAACACCCAAGTCCCAACCATGGATCTCAAGATCCCAAATAATTGCAAGCTTGATCCTTGCTTCCATCTAAATAAGGTAAAAGTCCTGCATTTACTAAGCCTTCGTTTAACATCCCTAGGAGATCGACCATGCACATAATTAAGTGTTCAATAAACAGGACGGTTCAGACTTCAAAGAGCACCAACTGAGTATCCAAGTCTCAACGGATAATGATTGGTCTATAACAGTTGTGAGTGTCAGGAAACGGCTCACTTGGGCTCAAATGGAGTCGCCACCCATCAATTATGGAAATGGACGTGATGGGACTTCCGAGAATGGCATCAAAATATTTGGTTTAATGGTGACTCCAAGACCCAAGGCACTGACCACACCAGTCCAGGTAAGTCTTGGATGAGAGAGGGGAAGGAGTTAGGCACCCCTCTCCCGGGTCCTATAGGTGGGGCCCACATAGTATCACAAAAAAAGCATATAATCAAGTAAAATCTAATAAGAAAATAACAAGAGCCAACATAAAAGAAATCCTTTATTTTTACTTATCTACTTTTTTATTCCATTATTTCTTTACATATTTCATTTATTTTTTGTGTTTTCATTATTATATATATTATTTTTTATTTTTATCCATTATTTACACTTTTTGTTATTTTCTTGTGGGGCTATTTGATTTTATTTGTTCTATGAAAATTATTTCTTGTTTTTATTAAAATTTTTTTGAATCTTTTTTTGCTTTATTTATTTATTTAGTTTTATGAAGCCCTATTTATTATTTTTTTATTTCATTACTACTAGTTTTTTTTCTTCCCTTAATAGTTTTCCTACCCTTACATAGAAATTCTAATATATCAAGCTAAGCATCCGGATCTACTGATCAGACCCGCTATAGCAGGTTATAATTTTTTTTTTTTTATCTTTCCTTTTTTTTCTTTAGTCACATCTTTTGTTATTCTATTTTTTTTGTTCAGTTTGCTCACTATGACGGGCTTCCCTTCCTTCTTTCTGATCTGATCTATAGATATCAACCCTGCATATTCTCCTTGCCTACCCCTCCTCCATTCTCTCTTTCCTCTTTCCTTTTCTAATTTTCTTATTTATCTATTCTCATTTTCTTTTGTTTTTAAATCACTACAAAACCGGATTTCGCTTGCGGAAACAGTAAAATTGAAACAGACATCTACTCAATCCAAATAAAATGAAACAAGCATCTACTAAATCCCAGTTTAAATATCAAATAAACTAAGCCTGGATTGATCGCAATCATCGACACTTTCCTTCCATCGGAGTTTAAATTCGGAGTAGAAGAAGATGAAAGGAGCTGTCGACGGTAATCGTCAGAAAAAAAAAATCACAAACAACGACGAAGCGTAACCAATTCAAAGCAAGTTTATAAATCAAATTTTAATATCTATGGAGGCTCTGGAAGAAAACGGTGATCGGAATGACCCGACATTGAGAGTTTACAGGACGGAACCAGCTCCGTCCACCCCCTTTCTCTGCCTCAAATTCTTATCATAGCGAGAATACAATGAAAAAGTCTTGAGAAAAACGAAAAAGAAAGTACGGGGAGAGTGAGGTCGGTTCTTACCTGATTCGGGATTTTGGCCTGACGTCGATCAACGCTGCAGAGGAAGTTGCAGTCTGTTCGGATTTTGGATGACTGTAGCTTGAGTAATTCCATGAAACGATAAGAAATCGCCAACGAAAGAGAGAGGTGGAAGGGAAGTTGCCACCGGGTTCAGATTCACCGCTGCAAGTTGCAGCGGCGGTGATTAAGTGGAAAAGAGAGAGAGAACGAAGGGGAGAGAGGAATGGGATTGAGAAGAGATAGAGATAGAGTGATGGAAGAAAACAGTGAGAGATGAGGGAGTCGGAAGTGGAAGGATCGTCTCGGTGCCGCCGTTCGGGTGTCGTGAGGTCGGGGAAGATGAACGGTGTTTTTCTCTCAATTGGATAAAAAAAGGAAGAGGAAGGAGAAAAGGAGGAGGAAGACGAAGGAGAAGAAGAAGAGAGAGAGAGAGAAGGGGAGATAAATAGCTCCGGGTTAGACCCGGCGCTGGTTCACCGCTACTGTGTCCGGACGAAGGGGGAGGTGAACAGTGCATTCCCCCTGAATAAGAAACAAGAAAGATAGGTTTGCTTAAATAGTGGGATGTATGGGGTAGTTTCGTACTTTTTGGGACTTAGGCGCATTTTTGTAATTTTAGGAAATTTGGGACAATGGGATTTTTGGGCCAAAAAATAGAGGGTTGAAACGGGTTTGACCATAGGGAGGGGTTGTGTATGTGCGGGCTAATGAGATTGGCCGAAATGGAATCTCTTAAATGGAAAGGTAAATGAGGGTATTTTTTGTTGAAATTTTATAAGGTGGGTTTTCGAACATTCTGAGTTGATTGATAGGGTTGGATTGGTCCAATTGGGCCCACATTAGGCAGATCTAGAAAGGGCTTTATTTAGTCAATATGGAGCTTTGAAATGGAATCTTTATTTGATCGAGGGGCAAATAAGGGCAGTTTTGGGTGAAATTTCACAAGGTAGGGCTTTTGAGTAGTTTAAGGTGATTGGTAAGGTCAAATTGGGCCAGCTAGGCCCAGATCAGAAGGATTGGGAATCCGATTAATCGGGAGTCTTGAAACAAAATCTAGTTACGATAAAGGRTAAACGAAGGTTTTTTGAGATAAAATTTTACAAGTGGGTATTTGCAGGTGTTCGAAATATGATGGTGGGGTCTGATTAGTCTTAAAGGGTCAAGATCGTAGGAACATGGGTCAACAGAATGTTCTAAATTGGAATCTTGGTTTGATGGAAGGGCAAATGGGAGAATTCGGGGTTGAAACTTTATGGGCAAGTGTTTTGGTGTATTTGAAAAGGGATGAGAGATTTATCATATGAATGGTCGAACCCTACAGGAAGGTTGGGTAAATTTTCAAAAATTTCTCTCTTTCCCACATGAGAATCACATTTCCTATTTTAGAAAACYATATTTTCAATGATCAATCTTAAACCTAAACCAGACCAGATCTATAACCAAAAAGGGAGTGRAAGGTTATACCTGATACGAAGTAACAATAACCTCCAATGAAGGTGTTCACGCCCAAGGAAAAATCCAAAAAATGCTTTCCACCAAAGATGACACGGTACAAGATGAAGCAGAGTTAGCGGGATGACTCTTCAACAAGAACCTGAGTCTTCAACAAGAATCTGATGGAGGGCTAGTGAGCACGACTTCTTATTACCTTTTCTGCCAAAAGGTAATATCAAGAACACTTCTTGATTGCTCCCACAGGTGGAGATTGAACTGCAGATAAAGATCAGCCCTCCTAATCTAATTAAGATGTTCCTAATCCAAATCTTTATTTGGACCTGGATTTTCTGAATGGATAGGGACAATCCCTTATCCTATCTACCGATCTAAATCCCAGAACCGCCMTCCTTTAATTAATCCCATTAAGCCAGTTCGAATTGGGCTTTAGGCCCATTAAGTCCATCTGCTCACTTACCCTCCAAACTGTTGCCCAAATGGATATCCTTGTATGGCGTGGGACCCAAACATTGATCTACACATCAACCACATGGGTTCAGCCCAGCCTCTGTTACAAGGCCTGGCCAAATTCACTGTAGGAGACAGTCAACCCCTGAGTCAATTATCATAGGCTCTTAATGGGCCCAACATTTACACTAAATGGTCATTGGGTCATGCCACCTTATAAAAACCCAAGGACTGTGGGTAGATGCAAGATTAACCCATCAGGTATTACCCTCAATGATCTTACACTTAACCTCTCAGCCCATAATGATCGAACACTGCCTGACAAGAGAGGACCTTTCCCACGGCTGCAAGGTACAGTGCTACACTCTCTACTCACATGTATCTCGGGAATTAAAACCTTTTGCAAACATTT